ATTTCTTTTCTCGTTCTTCTTGTTTCTTTTCTTTTCCTCTAACAACTGCTGTAATCTCTCTTCTTGTTTCTTTTCTCGTTTTTCTTGTTTCTTTTGCTGTTCTTGTATTGCTGCCATCAAATCTGTTAAGCTGTAGTTTGATTTGCCGCTTCTCGTTTGCATTTTGTTTCCATCCCACTCCTGACACCAATTTGTTACGTCTCTGGTCGTTAGTTAATTTTCCGTATAATTTCTTTCCGAAGAAACTTTAGCGATATAAGTCCTTTCTTAAATAAAACTGGTTTATTCTTTTTAAATACAACTTTGCAATACACTTAATTTCCACAGTCGCGCTATAACAAACGTTATTATTCACACGTGCTCGTCTCAACTGTCAATTACCCATTGTTGCCGTCACGTCTTGACCGTCTTATATATACAAGACTACCGCATATCTAGTAAAAGCTCGAGACTTCACGAACCTTCGAGAATCTGACGTGTTACTAGAGTCACGTGACCCCCGCTGTCGTAACAATAGGTTGCGAAAAGAATTATCTCATTTCATAGTTTCAAACAGTTATTAATAATCGCTATCACTGAATACAGAAACATATTTTACAAAACCGTCTCCCGATTTTAATAGCTGAAAAATTTATCCAGAATTCGCCGTCTAGATCATATTAAAATCATTTTTCGACATGGGGTTTCGCCCCTGCCTTGTTTGAACTTAGATTATATATAATTACGGTTTTGATGATATCATTAAGAAATACATGACAGCATAGATATATAAAAGCTACTGTTTGTCTGTATTTCAGTAGTTACAAAATTATAAAATCGGCAAGCGGTAAGCTTAAGGGCTTATAACACTAAATCCGGGGATCGATTCTCTCTGGTGGATACAGTTTAGATAGCTCATTGTGAAGCTTTGTGCTTATTATTAATAACTACCAATCAACAACCGACTTGTGTAGTATTAGAAGTCTTGTCTTTTCTACCATACTATTTTCAAGTGAAATGTACTTGTATTGTATAGAAAATAAAATGCAAAAGATGAGAATTTTTTATGTCAAATTTGAATATTTAGTTAGAAATTGACAACAATAATTACTTTTTGTATTTTCATAAATAAATCATGGCGAGCACAGAGGATCTTATCGAGACAGAGGCCTGAATCTCGCGCCAAGCCGAATATGGCCTTTTTCAAGAGTGTACCAATTGTAGAAGTGAATAAAGAAAATTTTGTGCAGTTGTGGCCAACCCTACTGTTATCCATCAAAAATTCATATTTTGTTGCCATCGATCTGGTAAGCTATCTATTTACCAATAAAGTATTTACTGGGTAATTTAGTATTTCATATCAAAAGGCTTAGACTTAGAGTTTAGGCTTGGTCACAACTCTTTGGTATAGTGTTCGCAAGACGCTGCTGCTATCTGTTAGTAATTTTTAGTAATATTGGGACGTATTTATAATGTTGCTTTAGCCTTTAGGCCTAAAGTAGTAATAATGAAAAATTGAAAATTAAGATCACCCAGATAAAAACTATATATATATATATCCAAAACACACACTAATTTTTCCCGTCGATAAAAATATTAAAACACAATAGTTGAGCCAAGTATTACATTAAAAAGTCAGAAAATAAATAAAGAAGTTCAAATATTGTGGTGTTTTATAATTTTTTATTTAAATTGTATTTTGTAATATACAGATGTCGATCAGTTACATGGATTGTTATGTCTGTAATGGAATGAATTTCAGTTATCTCACATCAGCTTGAATTGCCTATTACTGTTAGAATTCACATAAAATGTTTTTAAGGCATTCATTTTGCATACGTGGGAGATTGTAACGTATTCCGTAATTCAAAACTACTATTCTCATTTACAACGAAAACACTTTCTAATAACACTATAGTCAAGGTGAATATTGTGCAAAAAGGCTTTAAATTAATTGTAAGTTTTATTCGAAGCAAAATGACCATTAGAAGTAGCTGTATGTACCATTGTAGGTTGTAAGTGTTTTTATAAATTTCAGAGGTTAAAATAAAATAAACTTTGTTAGAATACACTAACAACAGTTTAATGCATATAAAGAACAGGTAATCTAAATTAATAAGTGTAAATTACAAATAAAATGTGATCATATATTATGACTAAAAGTTTCTTCAATTATGACAATATTGTTTTATCTAGCCTTGCATAATCAAAATAAGAAAGTGAAATTAACTTTCAAATTTTATGCTGCACAAAGAAATGTTAGGATACAAATGTTTATGATGATATACCTAATTACTGTCACTTGTCTATATTATTATAATTTCTTTGACTTCTGTTTAGTAATAATATTTGAAAAACTTTTCATATTGAATTTTATTGATATAACTTGAACTCTAAATGTCTTTTATTATGAAGTTCTATGCCTGTCTTGAGTTGTTTTTTGTAGATGTTGTCTTTGTTAAGTTTTCTAAAATGATTATTGATTATTTTGGTACTTTTCTGTGTATCAGTGGAGTCATGGTAGTGTCATTAATTTAGTAAATGTACAAAAATCAAGTTCAGAAAAAAAGAAAGTAAACTCATGAGTATCTTATGATATAATTGGTTTATTTGGTTGGATAACACTATACATCTTATTGATAAATTGTGCCATGGTTGTTTAAAGAAGTATGGTTCTTTCCTTTCCAAAAATGAATCTGTTTTCTCTCCAGCTAAAGCTCAACAGTTAATATTTTAAAATTTTATAAGAACTAAGGTTCTAGATATTTTATTGAATATAATTATGGAATATGGAAAAACCAGTGCTTGAATGTTTTTTAATATATTTTTTATTTGGTTTAATGATTTATTTTTTAAATATTCATTTATCATCTTCCTTATTTCTTTTCTCTATGCAGGAGCTTAGTGGACTAGGAAACCGGAAAAACTTAAATGCTCGGTAAGATTATTATTTTTTTCTAATTCATATGAATATCAATATGATATTTAATGGTATAGACTTTGCTGTCTGGAATTGTGAGATAATAATGTCTTTATTTACAGTACTGTGCAAAAGTGTTAGGACATGAGAATATTTTTGTCATTCTTTCCATTTTATGGGCCTAATTCTTCCATGCCATTACAGAATATAAATTTCAACACTATGGTAATGCTTCATTGATCCCTGTTGACAATTGAATGAGCCAGGGTGAGAATACTTATCATTCTTTAGAATTCCCATATACTTGTACCAAGGTCATGTCATAAGGGTTCTGCTTGAATGAACATACTGATCAAACTTAGGGTATGAAATAACTGTCATGGTACTCCATACAGAGTCTTAACTATGTAGAAAGAAGCTAGCATATGGTACCAGTATATGCTAGAGGAAATTGGTTTAATAGCACTCCACAAATAAACCTTGATAAAAACAGTGTTAAACACAATATATTAAGTTTTGTTGTCATACCACAGCCCAAGAAGCTTAGAGAATTGTCATTAGAGCAGAGAGTTCACATAAAAGCTTTATGTGATGCTGGTTGGAATCTCCGACAAATTGCTGCAGACTTGAAATTCTCCCCACACACTGTCAAGTACACCCTAGATCATGATACTGAGACAGGTGAATTTGAAAATAGGAAAGGAATAGGCAGAACACCTAAACTCAATGATACTGGTGTTAAGTATCTTCGTTTATGCAGCCTTTGGGACAGAAGTAAGACTGCCACTGATTTCAAGCATGAGATAAACAACCATGTACCAAATGACAAAAAAGTGTCCAGATCTACAGTATCAAGAAGACTCAAAGAGAATGGAATATTTGGTCGTGTAGCAGTTTAAAAACCTTTAATTTGATCTCTAAATATTTTGAAGAGACAGAAATTTGCTAAAAAAGTACAAAAACTGGACTGTCGATGATTGGAAAAGGGTGTTATGGATGGATGAATCCAAGTTTGAAATATTTGGTTTAAAGCATAGGTTGTACATCCAGTGGAAGAAAGGTGAAAGATACTTACCTCAATGTATAGCACTTACCATGAAGCACGGGGGAAGCAGTGTGATGGTTTGGGGGGTGTTTTTCTGCTAAGACAAAAGGAGATATTTGCAAAATAGATAGAATAATGGACCAGCACAAGTAACATCAGATACTGAATCATCATAGTATATCGAGTGGTTTGTGTATTATTGATAAAGGATTCTACTACCATGAAGATGACCTCAAACACTCATCCAACCTGTGCAGAAATTATTTAGCTAAGAAAGAAGCTGCTGGAGTCATTCAAATGATGCAATGGCCTGATCTCAACCCATTTGAGCAAATCTGGGATTTGATAGATCAAAAACTTGACATATCAAAAGTTACTTCCAAAGAAACTTTGTGGGAATGTATTAGAGACATTTGGACTAAAATCCCAAAGACATTTTGATTAAATATGTTGCAATAATGCCTGAAAGACTGTCTGCAGTTACTAAAACAAAAGGTGGACACACAAAATATTAACTGTTTGCTGAACTCAAGCACTTCCACTGAGTTTCTGTTGTACTAACTATGAAGCTTAATAAAAATTTTGATGTTTCAACTATGATTTACCTTCCATTGTTGTTTGAAAGTAGCCTGAAATTTAATTTTTGACTTTGTCCTAACACTTTTGCACAGTACAGTATATACATACATACATAGACCATTTAATTAATCTTCTCAAAGTCATAGAACAAACTGACAGTTGAAAGTAAAACCATCACAAGGCTATAAAAGCACAAACTACTACAAGTAACAAATGTAGGTCAGGTGCCTTTTTGGCTTGTTTCATAAAGTCATGTTGTGGATCATCTTGTAATCCAACTGCATTAGTTTTTTTGTTGTTGTTAGAAACTTTCATAAGCCATATGCCAAATATATGAGACCTACCAGTAATGGAATGTATATTAGTTTTCAGATCGTTTTATATCATGACTTCTTGAAATTATGAACCCAGATCAAGAAGTCGTTGTTTTTCACCAGTTTTAATTGTAAGCTTATTTATATATCAACTGTAATTTAATATTAGTTTACCAACATAACACGTTGAGTTTTGTGGTCTGCCACAAACACCATAAAGAAAATTCTGAAATTTTTTCTAGACAGTTGTAGATGTATCCTTATCAGGCAGGCAGTAGTACTGCCTATGTAGGGAAGGCTCGGATTGTTGATCGAAATGGTATTTTAAATATCTCCTCAACTTGTCATCAGAACTTTCCAATACTATAAGTTGTTTCCTTTTATAACAATATCTATGTAATGTCTGAGTCACAAGTTTTAAGAATGTCTGTAAATATCATAGTAAAAAGCTTGAATTTCTTGTTCTTCTTTCTTCTGCTTCTTGTTTTTATTATTAAATGATAACTCAAAAACTAAAACAATGGTATCAACCAATTTCACTGAGGTGACAGTTTCAAACAGAGTATCTGCTTTTATAAGTATTATTAATAACTAGTAATAATGAAAAAATCATAACTTTAGTGTAAACGATGTTATCATTACCCTTTGAATTTAGCTTTCTCACAGAAATTTGGTGTTCCTATAAAAAGCATAAGTACAGGGTGAAACAGGAATTACCAGCCAATAATAGATAAACA